CAAAACCATATTATTCGACATCTCATAGGTACCATAGGAAGGGTGTTCATCCTGACTGCGATCGCTCAGGTATGCTCCTCAGCTCGCGAAGATGACTAGGCTCCGTGGAGCTTCAGTGAGCTCGTACGATGCTGGCGTCGACCGGTCTCAATTCCATCGGTCAAAGCTTCCTTCGAACGCACCAGATATTATTGTTCAGAACACCGTCGATGTGTCCGATCCGGCGCAAGTTCTATTGTGGTATAGAGAGGAGCGACGGCGCCAGTTCAATCTTCTTGTTCGGAAGTGAGTGTGACCACGAAACACGTAAACCCGGCGAGGAGTGAATCATGGCTAATTGAGTTTTTGATTCAAGGTACAAAAACCAGCTTCTCCATGGATGTCAGGATCCTGCCTGCCGCACTCCGACCTGCGCGAGTTACAGGCGGAGGGTTTCAGAAGGGCCGTATCGCCGTTACACTGAGCTAAGTGCCCGGACCCTGGCTTGCTACTTGGCTAGCTTGGACAATCCGGAGAGTGGTCTCTGCCGTAATACCCAGCGCGTCCCATCGGAGCTGTCGTCTCACGATCATCTTCGTCCGTCGCGACGGTCAAGCCGCGGAGCATCGACCGACCGTACGGAAGCACGCAGTCCCTCATCGGCCTCGGGTCGCAGGACAGCTGGCAATATACCGGCAAATAGAGCCTTGCTCAATCGAGATGCAGCATCCGCGAAGCCCTATGATAACGCCAGAAGAGGGTCCGGATCGTATATGGATTTGCGAGAACAGAATGAGCCCGAGCCTGTTGACGACGAAACCGCGTCGCAACGGATGAAAGACCCCAAATCCTTTACGCAGAACCTATTTGATACTCTCTCGCTACGAATGGTTGAATGGCTCCCCTTACGACAGTCACCAGATGCGCTGGATTCAGATGCAGATCGTTTGAGCACGCAACACGCTCGGTCACCCAAACGCGAGAGTTGCGAACATTCAAATACCACTACGGGATCCACGTACGCGAGGCGGCATTCAAACTTGCAAAATAAGTCGCCTGGAGGTGCTCCCCATACACCTTCGGCGCGGGGTGCGAGTAGACGAGTTCCCCCAGTCGAATCGAAACCCGAGCACCAAGTGAGACGAATATCCCTGATTGAAACGGACCAGCATCAGCATAGTCCCCGCAAAGCCAAAGAGGCAAAGGGGCGGCCGGAATTGAGACCGAGCCGAAAGCTCTCTTACAATGCGCATCTTGATACTGACGGATTGGTCAACATACCATCGCCGCCGGCATTGAAGCATCGCCCGCAAAAAAATCGCGGCAGAAATGAAGGTCTCGATGGGTCTTTTACACAGACACAGCGCAAGAAGGAGAGGCGTGTATCATGGGATAGTGCGAAATTCTTAAATGACGTCCAAAATCAGGATGCCGAAAAGCCGCTGGCAGCTAGAGACGAGCACTTGCCATCGGAAACACAATCTTCGAACGATGACCAGCCAAAATGCAAAAGTCCCCGTCAAAAGGCGGAACGACCGCTGGCTGTTCAAACGCTAAGTCACCTAAATGGCGCCATCATTGACGGGCTGGCGCGGATGCTGGTCCAATCTGACGAAGAGGCTCAGAGATGGAGGGACGAACTGAGTCACATGGAATCTACAGGGAACTTTGAGAATCCAGAATGGCTGTTTGCGACATCCCGCCAGCGTCGAGTGTATACGTTTCTTGCTCAGAGTGTATTTTACTCACTGGGTTCCACCAGGCAAATACTTCGTTCATTTCGAGAAGAGACGACTGGCCCAGAGCAGGGTTACTCGAATTCGAAGCTTGATTTGCAGCAGCTACAACCATCGCTGAGCAAGCTCTTCACTTTATGCCCGTGGGATATTGCCCTTCATAGCCTGTGGCGCGCCGTGGAGACGCTGTTCATGCCACCAAAAGAGCTCTCAATGCCGGGCCGCCAATCACGCCGTTCGTCAACCAACTCAACTTCAACAGGGCCCTCATCTATTCCAATCATCGCTCGGCGGACATCTGATTTCGAGGGCGGCGACCATTTGGCTGATGCTAACGCGGCAGATATCGCAACCGTTGCCTTCTTTGCCCTCACCAGCAGTCTTCCCCAAGTTGATGCGCACACGTGGCGAGGCCTCCTTCAAATGCGCGCCTTTGGCACTGTGGCTTCGAGTGCAGACATGGAAAAGCTCCCTGCCGCAAAGGCACAGGCCATTGTCGAGCTGACTGACAAGCTTGAGCACGAACTGGCTTTGCGGTTAATTGACCGCTTGGTGCGTGCTCTTACCGCGCGCTTGGCATTTTATGAGATATCGAAAGCACGTCATCCTTGCCTCCAAGATTTCTCCAAAAAGCGAAAAGACAGTGCCCTGGATCTTCTGATGAACAACCTGGGCGACCATTACAGCCTTGTAAGGGCTGGAACTGACGAGTCAGACCGCGCTAAACTCCCACCAGCTGCGGCCGCTATTATCGCCGAATGGCTTCGGACTCTGTTCCTGAGAGAATGGGACGGTAATCCTGAGATCTCACGGAGCAGCTCCGCCGGAGGCGTCGTGGAGATTCTGTCACGAATGTACAAGCATCGCAACCGCCTGGGGTTGGTCCCGGAAGATTTCCACACTCCGTTTCTCTGCGAGCGGCTGGAACCCCTGGATATGCCTGTGGAATGGATTGGAAGGTTGACCAATAACAAAACGTTGCATTTGCTTTCCTATTCGTTCCTTTTTCCTCCATCTGCACTCGTCATTTATTTCCGCGCCCTGAACTACGCTGCCATGTCCAAGTACTACGAGGCTGCCATGACGACCTCGAGACACGTGAACCAAACCGCATTCGGACCGATTCCCATACAAGATGATGTTATGCTGTTGACACAGATGAAGACATCGATGTCTACGTATCTGGTTCTCATGGTCCGCCGTGATAACGTGCTCACCGATGCTCTTAACCAACTCTGGCGGCGGGAGAAAAGAGAGCTGATGCGTCCACTGAAAGTGCAGATGGGAATAGACGAAGGTGAGGAAGGTCTCGATCACGGCGGTGTCCAGCAGGAGTTTTTCCGAGTCCTCATGGCAGAAGCCCTGGATCCATCGTATGGTATGTTCACAATGGACACACGAACCCGTATATCGTGGTTCCAACCTTGTTCGTTGGAGCCCCTCTACAAATTTGAGCTCCTGGGCTTGCTCATGTCGCTTGCAATCTATAACGGTTTGACATTACCGGTCAACTTTCCGATTGCCTTCTACCGCAAGCTACTCGGACTCAAAGTAAAACACTTGGAGCATATCCGGGACGGCTGGCCGGAGCTTGCGAGAGGACTCGAGCTATTATTGTCGTGGCAGGAGGGCGATGTGGGAGATGTCTTCATGCGAACATATGAATTCAGCTTCGAAGCCTTTGGCGCCGTTGAAACGGTTGACATGGAGAAGGTTGATAGAGACGCTGTATGGCCCTTGCGGGCAAGGGGCCGCGGCAAGTCGTTGGGACTTTCAACGAACTGGTCGGAGCTGTCTCAGCATGCTGACCCCGCAGAGCTGAGTCCTCCCTGCTCGATGGCTGCGGACCAGACTGATCTCCTCGCATGCGGGTCGTCGCATCGGACCACATCAGAGCGTCTCGACCATCGCATCCCGACGCCTCCAGTTGAGGAGGCTTCCCTTGTTACGAATCAAAACCGTGCTCAGTTCGTCAAGGACTACATATTCTGGCTTACTGATAAATCCATCCGAGCCCAGTTTGAGGCGTTTGCGCGGGGATTCTATACCTGTCTAGACCGAGCGGCCCTGTCAATCTTTACGCCGGAGGCTTTCAAGACGGTCGTGGAAGGAATTCAGGAGATTGACCTGGAAGAATTGGAACGTCATGCCCGATATGAAGGTGGCTTTAGTCCCAAGCACCGAGTCATCCGAGATTTCTGGAGCATTGTGAAGAGCTTCTCTGCAGAGAAGAAGGCGCAGCTCTTGGAGTTTGTCACGGCCAGTGATCGTGTTCCGGTCAACGGTATTGCGAGCATCATGTTCGTCATTCAAAAAAATGGTGTGGGTGATGCTGTAAGTTTACTCGGCTTTATTTCAGCTGCTGCATTATCAGGCTAACATCTCTCCAGCGCCTTCCGACCAGTTTGACCTGTTTTGGTCGATTACTTTTGCCGGAATACTCATCGAAGAGTGTCTTGGAAGAGAAGCTCAACAAAGCTCTTGAAAATGCTCGGGGATTTGGAGTTGCTTGATGAGTTGCTGCTTCGATTTCCAATCCATCAAAAGTATTATGTTCGCTTTAGAGAATACCCCTCTGGTTGGTTGGTTTGCCGTACATCACTGCGGTGCCACTCATGGCCAAGGTGCATGGGAGGATAGGACGAATTTAGGTGGTTTCGGGATCCAGCCATAGAGGCCGTTGCTGTATATAGTATGATCAATATTCATGAAGGGCCTATAAGTTGTCCATGACAGGTCTCATTTTTCTGTGTCCATTGCTCGTGCCTTGCGGGTTGATTCGCCAAACCTGCCTGTATGACTTCGGACAAGTTTCCCCCGACAAATGACGTTGCTGCCCTGAAAACGCTGGATTTGCCATGATTGCTCTCGCCCTGATCTTCGGGGCTGATTTGTTCATTTCTTCACTACCCTCCTGATTTTTTTCTTCTCGTGCATAGGCGAGCTATTACGGTCTCGTATAGAGATTCCATAGGTAAGTCTTGTAACCTGGTGTTGTCCAGTCATATTCAACATCCCCCCCACGGTGCGGTGTCCTCCGGGATTGACTCAAACCTGTCGCAACCAACAGGAACCTTACTGATTAATTGTTCTCCAACTTCCTCAAATTCAGATTTGCAATTTTCCTCATCTTCCTGTCATATATTTAAAGGATCCCACTTTGCCTGTACTCGCAATAGGTATGTGTATCCTGCTAGGATTTATCTTGACTACCCCGCTACCCCACGCTCAGATGGTCCTTATGTCCTGATTCGTATCTAGATATAGAATTTAGAGTCTCCCAAAATGCCGCCAGTTGTCCACTGTGTTCGCCATGCTCAGGTATTTTCCTCCGTCCAGACATCTTTCCTACATATTCCAAACTAACCACACCATCCAGGGCGTCCACAACCTATGCACAGCGAACCACGTCATCCACGATCCCTCCCTGACCGACCTCGGAAACGAACAATGTCGCCTTCTTCGCCAGAGCTTCCCCTTCCATGATCGGATCGAGCTGATCACCGCGTCGCCTCTCCGACGGACAATCTACACTGCATTCCAGAGCTTCGAGCCCGTGTTGGAGAAGCGCAAGGATATGAAGATCGTGCTGCTGCCGGATGTGCAGGAGACCAGTGACGTTCCCTGCGATACGGGGAGTGACCCGGAGGTTCTGCGGAAGGAGATGGAGGAGAAGGCAATCCCTGTGGATACGAGTTTAGTGCAGGAGGGGTGGAACAGCAAGGTTTGTTCCCTTTGGGGCCCCATTCGTCATCCCGATGGAGAAGGGATATTGACGGCATTCAGACTGGTCACTATGCGCCGACCAACGAGGCGATCAAGAAGCGGGCGCGTGCGGCTCGGCGCTGGCTGAAGGCGAGACCGGAGAAGGAGATCATTGTCGTCACGCACGGTGGTTTCCTGCACTATTTCACAGAGGACTGGGAGGATAGCAGTCAATACCAGGGTATGTCCTCCTCTTCTCATCTTTCCGGAGGATTGTTTGGGACCAGGAAACAATGCGTCTGACACTTGTAAGGAACCGGCTGGAACAACACAGAGTACCGCACCTTTGTCTTCTCCGACGAAAAACACATAGATGACCTGGAAGGTAACGCTCTGGACGGCGATAATGCGACACTGGTTGAGACAGAGGAATCGCGCCATCGCCGTGGTAAGGACGGCCCGATGCTAGACCGTCAGAGACAAAAGATATTGTACAGGCTTGGCACACAAGGATGGGATGACCAAGGCTTGCAACTGAGCACGGCCGAGCGAGAACAAGCCAAGGTTCCCCAGGGCAAGGAGGTCGATGGTGTCAGAGTCTGAGACGCTGGCTGGGACTTGCCAGGGGTTGGAGGCTGGCATGAAACTTGGATAGAAGATAGATCGCGACGAAAATAGATGCAAGATAGAAGAGAAATCCATTGGTTCAGCTGTTTCATCTGATTGTAAATGAGGAAAATAAAGAGTCCATGTCAAGGGTTGCGGTTGGATCGAACAAAGCCGGGTATCTCGATCGCCGAAAGCAACAAAGGCAGCCGTTTCACATCCGTGCCCCCGACAGGGAACAAGGTTCGAGATCGCATCGATGATTGGACTCGATCAGATTCTTCAAGGGAATCTTTCTCGGATCGGAGACTTGCAACACTCGAACAATAGCCATTATGTGCTTGAGAGACAAAAGTACAAAGCTACCCGAGTCGACCAGAATAGAACAAACGAGACGCAACACTGAGACAGCGACAAAGGCTGTGGTCAAGTCAAGTCATTCATTGTTGGCCATCGTCTATAAGAATATCGATTGCTGCGTGCCTTTTGCAATCAGCCAGAGGCCTTCCAGATCATCTCAGACGAGGGAATGCCTTCATGCTTTTACTCTATCGGAGCAGTATCGACCAGGTAAGCCCGCCCAGGAAAGGCAAGCAAATACTAATGTCTGTTCTCAGGATTCTGCATAGTCTGTGATCATCTTCAGATATCAGTTAAGTACTAGTGAGTGACCCCAACCCGTCAATAGCTAACGGAAACAGAACACTATCAACTCTCCAAGATGGAGTGCATTCATTGAACTCAACGAGATAACAGAGCCAAATATATCATGATTCTCCTAATTCCCGAACCCTCCCCGTGAAAAGACGACAGCTAATCTGGATCAGGTCATGGCAACTCGGACTTTGACAATGGCATTCAACTTGACTCGACTTCAGGTACGTCCGGATCCACAGGTATATGGCTTACGGGGTATAGGATTGCTTTCTACTTATTTCACGGGGCCATGTAAGCCAGTTCAACAGACGCGAGACGCTCGCCGAATAAGTTATCCCTTCCCATTAAATGAGCGAGACGTTACTGATGTACGCCAGGGATGTTGGATAGAGCGGACAAACACCCTGATACTGGCAGAGATACTGCGTCTGAATGATGCCCGAACATTGAAAGGTGCGATGAGAAGCTGGCTACAGGAGAGTACAGATCTATTGCCAAGGTTAGGATTCCACTCCCAACGGGGGACGAGAGAACTAACCGGGTTCTAGATACACAATTTGATATGACCAAGCCGGCCTGCATTCACTCGGATTGGCCTTATTTGTATATGGTACGTCCTTGAGAGATCAGAGACTGAACAGACACTAATTCGTTCCAGGCCATGCGTCCGTACGATCTCGCGATCACAACCCTATGATGAAATGCATTGGTCTGAGGGGGTGAGCTCGAGATTCAGCAGGCAGGAAGACACGAACGCAGCTGATAACCAGATTTGGAGGATCATGTACTTCATCAACTGAATTATTTGCTGAATAGCAAGATCCTCTGTCAATATACTCAAGTCCATGCCGTCTTTCAGTAAACACATAAAGCACCAGAGGTCCAGAGGTCACATAGAGTGCATATCAACCTGGGCTGAGGCAGAGCACTTGATAGAATAGCCCAACTGCACGAAGTTGACCGGTAGTGGTGGACCCTTCCACGAGGCAGACTTGACCCCATCCTTCGAGGCAGTGCTCAAGGCAACTAGATTGACCGCTTGTTTTTCGTGTGCATTACATCTTTTCGCCGTCATATCTGCGTGCAGTCCTGCTGTCTCGATTGTATCGTCAGAATGTTTCTGTCGGATAGTACCTTAAGAGTTTGGATAGTCCTAGGTCGGATTCAGTTACATGGTCAAGGACCTGCCAGATCAGCATATAACCTATTTATTTGTGCAAATAGCTGGTCGCCATGAAGTCGATTGAGTTCTGCCTATTTCCTGAGAGATATGATAGTGATACACGGATGGATGAAGGTGAAACGGCAGTATAAACAATTCAGCCTATCAACACTCAGTCAATGCTTCTGGATAGTAACAGATCGCAGAGAAGATAGATAGTCTGGTAAATATATATCTGCCTATTTGACGATTTGAAACGTTCAGTAAGCTTTAAATTTAATTACAAGCTATGGGGAGACAAGGCAAGATGCAATCACGTAAAAAGGCTATTTTTAGTGCTGATCCAGTGGCGCAGACGCGCAGTACCCCAGTCCCCAGAGAAGCAAGCCCCAGGCACATCGCCAGGCTCCTCTGAAACAACTTCCTCTTTCTCCATCAGTAGTGGTATAACTCAACGCGAGGCCGTTCCATCAATGGCCAAATTTTCTCACCAACTGCAGACCGGCGGTTCTCATTGAATGTGACGCAGAGACTCATGCACAATGCTTGACGAGAACCTTCCCAGTACGTCATTTGACCACAAGCCGCCAGGAAAGGAAGAGAGCTTGACTGACAGACAGACAACGACGACAGCCTTCTATCTCAAACCAAATGACCAGCAAAAACACCTCTGGACTATCTATCTCTGCCAGCACGGCGACGACCCCGAACCGGCCTACACGCTCCGCTACCCCGATCCCTCCTCCCCCTCCTCCAAGAACCGCTATGCCGTCGCGCTCTGCGATCCTTTCGTGCCAGATGTCGTCTACGGCGAGGTACTGATCATCCCGGAATGGACGCAACCCAGTCTATCCGCCGAGGCGATCCGCCAGAACGGCGGGGTCACGCCTCCCCCAGAACCCATCCTCCCCTCCCAGTTCATCGTCCACCTGTACAACCCCGACCAGCAGGTGACGATCCGCTACAAGCACAAGACGTGGAACACGCCCGCAACGTGGGAATTCGAGATGCCGCAGCACACCTTCCGACAGCCGTCGGCCTCGACGCTCGACCGCACGCAGACCGACCCGGCCTTGGCGGACACAACCCCGAAACTCCGTTTCAGCTGGCGCAAGGATAGCAAGCTGTCCAAGGATCTGACGTGTCTGTTGTCCGGGAAGACGTCGACGCTGCCCGAGGGGAGGGCGAAGAGCAAGGAGCCGGATATCACGCTGTCGATTTTCAAGGCGCTACGGGAACTGACGCTGTACGAGCCGAACCTGTACCGGGTTGAGATGGAGGATTTCAAGGGGCTGGAGGTTGTGCTCTTGCTGGGAGCGGTGACGATCCGGGATGTCTACTTCACACCGATAAAGGATACGTTTCGAATTGTGAGGGATGATGTCGTCAGGAAGCCTGTGGCTGGTCCGACGGTCAGTACTGTCAATGGCAGTACGGGCTCGCACAGTCAGAAGCCTACGCCGGTCGTAGCTTCGAATACAACAGCCAACGACAAACAGCCTGCGCCAACGGAAACTCAAGCCACGCGGCCAAGCCCAACACCAGCCCCGGCTCCAACGCAGCAACAGAAGAAAAAGCAAGAAGTTTCGCGCAGGGAGGAAGAAAAACGGACCAAGAAAATGCTAGAAGAAGAGGAAAGGGCTCGCCGCAAGCGCCAGGCCGAAATCGACAAGGAGACTCGCAGACTGCAGAAGATCTACGGCCGCGAGGAGCAGCAGGTGCGCGCCAGCACCACGAACCTTGCATGTCCTCCTGCGCAGTCACCGCGTCCTCAACCGCCCCCGCGGCAGCACCCGCATCTCCCTCCGCGGCCGAGTCCACGATACTACTACCACCATCAGGCACCGTCCATGTCGCACCTGATGCCCGGACCAACTCCGACTGCGCGACCGCATGCGCCTGGCGCTGTGCCCGCGCCTCGACCGCACTCGACGGTGCAATTCGTGCAGCCGCAGACGTCGGGGGCCGGGGCGCGGCCACCGGGTCAGGGGCCGCTGCAGCCAAAGAAGAGTAGTTTCTTTGGGTTTCGACGGACGTCGGAGGAGGCCAAGTTGCATAAGAAGCGCAGCTCGATGTTTTGACTATGATACCCATGCATACTGGAGTTTGGCGTTCTGACAGAAAAGTATATACGATTGGCACAGTATCGATAAAGCATGTGTACTAGACAGGCTAATGCAATGGCCTTACATCTACGCCCTCAGCCGTAATCACCACCGGCAGGATATTCCCCTCTGCATCAAACTCCATCCGATCGATGCAGGTCACCCGGTGATCGCGCTCGGTGTCATTCACCGGCCGCCGATGGTAGACGATATAGTAGTCCCTCCCGTCAGGCGTAACCACACTGTTATGGCCCGTCCCCGTGCCGACAGTCGCATTCCCCGAGAGGATCTTGACGGGCTCCGTCGTAAACGGGCCCGTAGGCGACGCGCCAGTGACATAACTCACGCCGTAGGAGTCATCCCCCCATCTACTCCCCTCCCTCACCAATTAGCTGCGCTTCCAGCATACTTCCATCCAGAGAGAGAGAGAGAGAGAGAGAACATACCCGCCCACACTAAACAGAAAATAATACACCCCGTCCCTCTTCATCATCCACGGGCCCTCGACATACCCCGTCGGCGTAATCTCCAGATACCCCCCCTTCAAACTCACCATGTCCCTCCCCAGCTCCACCACCACGGCATGGCTCCACCCGCCGAAATACAGCCACACGCGCTCGTCCTCGTCCACAAACACCTGCGCGTCGATCGGCTCCGCGCCGAACACCGTGCTCGGCACAAGCGGCTTCCCCAGCACATCCGCAAAGGGGCCCTCGGGCAGCCCGGTGGTCGATCGCGCAACCCCGATCCCCGCCCCGTCCCCGGCGGAGAAGTACATAAAGTAATCGTATGGCGAGCTGCCATTGGCGGTGGCGCTTGCGGGGCGGCGGATCACGGAGGGGGCCCAGGCGGCGCGGTTGGTGGACCAGGGGATGTTGGCGAAGTCGAGGATGCGGGGGTGTTTGGTCCAGGTGAGGAGGTCTGGGGAGGAGAAGGCGTCGAAGAAGGTTTGGGATTCGTAGGCGGCGGAGTAGGTTGGGTAGATCCAGTAGGTGGAGTCGAAGATGCGGGCTTCGGGGTCGGCGTACCAGCCTGGGAGTATGGGGTTGCCTGTTTTCATGTTGTTGTTGTTGTTGAGGGCATTGTTGTTGATGGTGTTGGTGTTGGTGTTGGTGTTGGTGTTGATGTTGATGGCTGGGTCGAGGGGGGATTGGAGGGCTGTCGCTGTGGTGATTGAGAACAGGGTGAGGGGGATGAAGGGTGTTTTCATTCTGACGATGATGAGATGATGATGATGATGATCTAATTATTCCGTAAAGATACGAAGGTGAAAGGATTCATGGTAAGAGGAAAAAAGGGAATGCAATGTTTATGTATGTACAGATATGGATATGGAATGTGATATGCGTGTGACTGCAGAGATCGACAACAACAGACCGGTCATCTGCCACAGTGCAGGGAATATAGATTAAACTGATCACCAGGAAGCCACAAGTCTGAATCTTGCCATCAAAGAGAAATGACACTCGCGCTCAACACTCCTCCCCCCTTGACCAGCCCATCGGCCACTCTCTGTTCCACCACCTTGTCGATCCCCAGGATCATCAACGCCTCGTGCTTCGAGTCTACAGACACAAACTTCCGTGAAACCGGAGCCACCGTCATAAAGTTGATGTTGACCCCCTCCTGCCCCAGGAGACTGCCCACCGCCCCAATCTTCCCCGGAGAATCGTAGTTCTCGCAGATGAGCAGCGTCCCCTCGGGCGCAAACGAGGTCTCAAACCGGCCCAGCCGATTAATCAACGGCTGGTCCCCACTGCACGTCCCCGAGATGATGCGCTGGTCCTGCGTCCCCGGGCCGGCCTGAGAGGCAGCCGTGGCTGCCTCCCCCGGCGCACGGGACGAGGCGCGCGAGGGCGGCCGGGCGACAAGCGTCACCAGCGACGAGTACGAATGATCCGCCGGATCGCGCGAGTGCTGCTCGTTGACGAAGAGGCCGCGTTCGCGCGCGACCAGCTCCGCATTGACGATGTTGATGTTGATCCCCTCGGAGCTGCTGATCGGGGCCAGGAGGCCCTTGATCAGCGCGGCGAACAGCGGCCGGGTGTTGCTGATGCCCGCCACCTCGCCGTGGTAGACGAGATCAAAGGTGTTCCGCGTCATGGACCCGCCCACGGTCGAGGCGTAGTGCTGCGTGTACAGGCTGCCCATCTTCTCGACGAGCCGCACAAAGGGCTGCAGCTTGCGGTATTCTTCCGGCAGGATGAGGGGCGCGTTGACCGCGCTCCGGGGGAGGGAGCCGTGCAGGATCTGGAGGACCTGCTCGCAGACGTCGATGGAGACGTTCTCCTGCGCTTCGACCGTGGAGGCGCCGAGGTGGGGGGTGACGATCGCGCGGGGATGGGCGATCAGCCGTGCGGCCGTCGAGTCGGGCAGGGGCGGTTCGGACGTGAAGACGTCGATGGCGGCGGCGGCTAGATGGCCCGACTCCAGTGCCTCCAGCAGGGCCGCTTCGTCGATGGTGCCGCCGCGAGCGACGTTGAGGATGCGGGAGCCGGGCTTCATCTGCGCGAGCTCGGCCGTCGAGATCATCCCCTTGGTCGACGCGATCAGCGGCGTGTGGATGGTGAGAAAGTCGGCCGTGGTCAGCAGCTCCGCCAGCGACGAGACCAGGGTGACAGACGCGGACGCCGCAACGGCAGGGGACGCATACGGGTCGAGCGCGTTGACGTGCATCCCCAGGCCTTTGGCAAGCCGTGCGACCGTCAAGCCGACTGTCTTGTCAGCTCGTTCCTAAAGATGAGAAAGGAAGCTCACCTTTTCCCAAGCCGATGATCGACAACGTCTTGCCCTTCACTTCGACTCCGACAAACTTGCTCCGTTCCCATTTGCCGCTCTTCAGACTGCTGCAGGCCTCGGGGATCTTCCGCGCCATGGCCATCAGCAGGGCAAGGGTATGTTCTGCGGCCGCCCCGATGTTGCCAGACGGCGAGTTGACGACGACGATGCCTAACTTGGTGGCTTCCTCAACATCTGAGGTTGTCAGTGTGGTCAATGAGTCGGGCTGGGCCTCAACTCACCCACGTTGTCCACTCCCACTCCCGCTCTGGCAACTACCTTGAGCTGTTTGGCGGCTCGTAGGAGAGCGGCCGTGACCTTGGTTTCGGACCGTACGACCAGAGCGTCATATTCGGGAATGATCTTGAGAAGTTCATCCGCACCGAGACCCATTCGCTCGTCCACTTGGAGCGATGCACGAAGGAGAGCCAATCCATCTGGAGAGAGCTTCTCCGGTACGAGGACTTTGGAAGGGCTATGTCTGGATGGCATGATTGTATGGCTGGTTGACTGGTCAGAGATTGTAACAAAGGAGACCAGTGGCCAGGAGCTTTATATATGCAACTGTGTCAGTAAGGACCGTGGAATCAATTGACTCTGTCGAGAGAGAATGCATTAGCCAGAGCTCCATGCATTGTGAAGCGATCCTGTTGACAGTTATTGGCAGAAACGCCACTGGTATGTCTGGAACCCAATAACGGGCAGGCATATCTCAAGGCAATGAGCATCGCATCATCTACTATTGCAGGCTCATGTCTGTATCTGCTTCCCCGTACCAATCATCGAGAGACTGCGGAGTAACTCTGGTTAATTGCAGGAGAGAGAGTCATATTGAGACTGCGGGGTTGCGGATATCATCTGCGTGATTCGTGGATGTCAATCGTCGTCTTCTTTGACAATGAGGATACCATCCAGGCTTTTGCTTTTTTCTTTGTTGTCATCTGATGTTTGTTAGTTTGTCCGAGTTTGCCGCTGATTTGATCTTGATCTTTCTTGGGGAGACTGATGTACTTGCATCTCTGGACTATCACAGCATTATTCCGTTAGACAAAGCTCTGGTTTCCTAAGATTGGTATCTAATGACATCGATACACTCAATCGGCAAATCAAACAGACAATGAGAAGATAGCGGCATGTCATCTTGTGCTGCTATTCTAGTCTGTCAGAATTCATTGCCAGTCAGTATGGCCAAGAGAACTGTTAATATTAGAGGGTAAGCACTCTATCCATCCATCCAAACAATTATAACCATATGGAGATAGAATAGGGCCTTATACGAGGACAGACTTGTGCATCTCCTCATTCCAGGATAGATACCTGACGAACACGAGACTAGTGGGCCACCATCGTGTTTGACCTTTGGCGATTGTTTCAGAGGGGAAATCAGCACAGATCAGCAGAGAATCGATGCTGGCTCGTATATCCCGTCTAAACGAGAGCCGCGCTGAGAACGTGCCAATCATTGATCATGCAGATGCTCTGCTCTACGAGGATGATGCTATTTTAATCACTAGCCGCACTGTGGGCTGGACTGTGGGGAATTGGGGATGCGACTCTCGGATTCGATCGAGCTACCGTTTGAGAGTTTGACCTCATCCTCTATCTTCGCTCATCATGCCATGGCCCCATGGTTTGCTGGGCAGTTCGTTCAGGAGGGATAATTATACCAGTCCACTGTGCGTGGTCAACTGCAAAGACCATGTCAGCCTCAGCAGCACGAGTCGACTAGCTGCCTCAGCATACGGACATCCTGATTCTCGATGACTGCAAGTGCAACGACGACGTCGACTCAAGAACCGTGGGGGCCAATCCCGCGGATCTGGATCCTGATTCTGGACACCTCGTGGCCCTTGCATGATCATCAGAGCTCAACCGTCCGGGTCGAGATGGCGATCCAAAAAAAGGTTGACATGTCTGCCCTGCGGACTTGCGATTGCCAGTCTGGACGTCATGATTCGACGTGGTGCTCGTACCCAGATTCGGCCGTTGGGGTCCTTTTCTACATCCGTTTGACTGTGTATGGATAGTCTGAATGTCTGATAGAAAAGGTCAAAAGGTGGCTCCTCGCGATGTTGACCTGAGTTTTGTCAAGCACACACTCCTTCAACACATTCCTTTCTTGCCAGGTTGTTCTCGATCATTGTCGTATACCGTTTCATCCACGCTGGCTGTGGACTGTAAATATCACGATGGTCGGAGTCCCCCATAGCACAGGCTGCTCTCTGTGCCGCGAAAGACGGATCAAGGTTGGTTCTCCTACTGACATCCATCGACGTAGCTGACAATGACAATGACAGTGCGACGAGGCCGTCCCCCAATGCTCCCAATGCCGGAAATACGGCCGCCCCTGCCCAGGCTACCGACGCACCTTTCGCTTCCAGGACGAGGGACCAGCGCTCCAACGACGGCACCAGTCACGGTCTCGCAGGACAGACGAGTCCACGGATAGACCCCCAGAAACAACCACTGCGGCAGCTGCAGCTGCAGCAGCCGTACGCAACAACGCCCTCGCCATGATGCGCCAGACCCGCTCAA